ATATTCCATGTCAAAAAAATTAAGAAATTTACGAATATCAAATTATCTTTACAATACGAATTATAAAAAAAATTTCCAAATTTTCAAAATTAAAAATTTTGAACATCAAAAAAAAAAAATTAAAAACCTACAATCATTAAATTATCCACTATTCTACAATACAAAATCAAATCCTTATTCCTCCATTTTATCGATCCATTCATTTTCCTCGCAAAATCTGCATTTCGATAAAGTTTTTTATTTCCAGCAATTTCAAAATTGGCTTCGATCTATAAAGAACACAATTGGTGACGCGTACAACGATTGGCTGGAAACGATACTGTTGTCTCGAGGTGAAGAGTTTCGAAAATGGCTGCGAGCATTGAAACTGGATATCGAAGGACATCCAATATTTTCAGCACGCGAACAACCCGTTACACTCGCGGAAAATCCATTTCGCGATACCTTGGTAAGTATATTGATTCAAAAAATTAGAAATTTTTATGAAAAATTCGATAAAAGGGAAATGAATTAGCGATCGTGACTCGTGATGGCGACGATGATGGCGAGTTGTGTTTTATTATGCGTGCGCATCGTTAAATTATGTTATGCGAATTCCAGCCATTCGGCTGGATCGAAATTTATGGCGTACAATATGCACGCGTGAGACGTGAGATGAATCGTTCGTGATAAAAGTGAAGCAATATTATTGGATGAAAATGAAAAATGGGATAGCTTGTACAGAACGGTTCATGAAATATTTCAAAAAGTGAATTTGCTACAAAGAAAAATGAGATAGGAAGCTTATTCAAGCAATACCATATAATAAAATATTCCATCGTTACAATTTTTCAAATTTTTTTTTTTCGATACTCAGATTTTTTAACTATGATACAATGATAATAAGATTAAAGAATTTGTTTAAAAAGAAAGTTAATTTTATTACAGAACGGATCCACCCTGGACGATTTGAACAGAGAAATAAAAGAAATCGAATCTCTTTTAAAGCAAAGAAACATAACGAGCATTCTGGAGAAAATTCTTATTCCAAATAAGATTTTGACACCACCCTATACTCCTTTGGAGATCGCTCATCCAAAGAATCAAAAGGAATCTAATCTTTCCCTGATTCTCAAATATCTGTTAAAATATTCTTCTTACGGAGAAAATCAATTTTTATCGTCGCCAACTCCAAAGATCGAAAATACTCACGATCAGCAATACCTTGTAGTTCCTGTGAAAAGCGTGAAAGATTTAACTAGATCTCAAATTATCGATTACGATCCTAATGTGCAAAATCATAAAGTAATTTCGGATAATGAAAAAATATATGAAGAACGGAATAATAATTTTTCCTTCGTGAGTATTTTTTTTATTTATAATTATCTTTGACAAACGAAAATTAATATTAGAAAATGAAAACGTTAAATAGATTTCAAAGTCACTGGACTCGGGTTTGTTCGTAAAAGTTCGGGCAGAATCGGAAGAACATCTCGAGCGATACGATTTTACCCGAATTTTTCCGATCAATTCCGAAGTTCAAAGTTTTATTTTGAAATATTATAAATCGATGGAAAAAAGATCAAAATTAATAATCACCTTAATTTTAATTCCAATGATCTATCGAATTTCATTCCAATTTCATTCTAATTGTTTTCAAAGAATGTTCCAGAGAAACAGAACAATTTATCATTAACCAAAGACGAATTACCGTCTCTATGGACTGAATTCCAAGACGTTGAAAAATTACCCAAGAAAGAAATGCATTCTAAGGAAGATTCAATTGTTCCTACAGAAGAGGAAAAATTGACGAGTAAGACGCAGTACTTTGATGATGTTCCTGTTGATTTGTTTGAAAAGTTTCTCAAGTCTGTGGAATTTGCCCCGATTGAAAACACGCCACAGACTTTCGATGAGAAGGCTATTAAAGAAAATCACGAAGACGTAAGTTTTATAGAATAAATTCTATAGGTACGAGCGAATTTTGCTTGAATAATCATTTTTTATATGAAAGAATATGTATAAAAAAAAAAAATTATATATAAAATTTAAAGATTTAAAGATTTTAATAAATTTAAAAATTTATTAATATATAATAATAATAATTCTATTATTATATTCTCAGTAATGAAAAAAAATTCTTCAATGATCAATAAATATTATTTAATAAGTTTCATCTGTACAGAATTCGCATGAAATTCCACAAAATGAGAAAGAAGATAAAAACTTCGAATTGACTTTGGTAACTCGTGATAACGAAGATGTATCTAGGGATAAAGAAAGTCAATTTTCATCCCTTAATGATGACGGTCGGACAAACTTCACGGACAATCTCGAACCAAGAGATAATATCTCCCCCGAGAAATTAGGTAAGTTCTCTTCATCTTCATTACAATTTATATGAATGCAAATGTTCGATAATAATTATTAACAAAAACTTTTATCAACATATGTATGACTCGAAGTAATTATACATTAATTATTTATAAAAAAATTTTCTTTTAACTCTATAATCGAAGAAATAAATTCTCGTATATATAAAATTTCTATACGTCGAATTTTTATTTATTAAATCATTCTTACTCAAAAAATTTTTGATAAAATAAAATTTCCATAATTCAAATTTTTATTTCTTTTTTTGAGATCCAAATTAACTGATAATTTTATATATTTTATATATAACTGTATTCATTAAATTAAAAATATTTCGATGTATGGACGTTTGAAATCGATCGCAGAAAAATGCCTAAAAATATGATTTATTATTTTGTATTTATATCGTTACGCTCCATAAATCATTAATTAAACGAATCAATCTAATATTTCGAGATTAAAAAAAATTGTGAAGTCGTTACAATTTGAACGAAAAAAAAAAAATAGTTACGAACAAACGATTTCTGAATATCGTGATAACTGAAAAATCCGGTTTGATTGGCGATTCTTTTAATTGGCTACATATATGATACCGTTACGTTGACTGACTTTCATTAGTTTCCGTTCGATAGAAGGACAGAATCAATTTGGTATTTTTAGAAAGTCTGCATCGATGATGTAAACATATAATCTTCTTTTTTTCCTCGCTTGTTTGATCTAATTCTTTTTTTTTTTTTTTCTTAATATGTTGGTGACAAAAAATTTGTAGCAAGTTTATTTGATTAAAAAGATAAAAAGAAAAAAATAAGATAGTGATTTTAAAATTTAATTTTTTCGTTTTTTGATGAAAAATTAATATAAGAATCAAGATTTATGAAATTTATGAATAATTATGAAAATAAAAATTATTTAACAATTGCGAGTTTGGAAGTATTTTTAATTTTTAGTTGCAAAAATAGTAAATCTATTAAAATTAACTTATTGGATTTGAGAAAATATATATTTATTTTAGATAACATTGAATTATCTAATCAATCGAATAAAATGAACGATGGCAACTTAGGATTATCATTGCAACAAATGGATAATGAAAACGATGAAGAAATGGATTTAAATCTCTTTCTTGAACCGAACAATGAGAGTTTTTTGCCTTACTTAGAAACCTTAATGAAAATCGTGAATGAAGAAATCGCTGCTGAGAACAAAGATATAGAACTGAATCCCGATGAAAGTTCAATTACATCGTCTATTCTAAATAACGTTGCAAACGAATCATCTGATAAGTCTAAATCTTTGAAAGTTGAATCATATAACAATTCTACAGAAAAAATTTTAAATAATGATAGCAATTCATATGATGCAGAGTTTTTGGAAAAAGAAAAATTTAATAAGATTTTTACTAAAAATCAAATAATTTCGACGACCACAACAAAATTAAGTCAGAAACCACAACAGGTATTTTTTATAAATAAATCTAATATTTAAAATTTAAAATTGAATTATATATGTTCAAAAAAATATATTAATGCTTTTATATATATATGATAAATATATTTATATTAAACCGTTTTAACACTAATTGTAATTGTTCAATACAAAATTAAAATCGTTTTTTTTTTTAATTTCATCAGGAAAAAGAATCGAGGACATCTGAACTAATTTATGCAAACGAGGAACCTACTATTCGATCCTTTCATAATTTGGCCAGTTATGGTTCTAGCAATGGTGACGTTGCTCTTCCAGATTATACCTATATCGAATACGATAGTATGAAATATAAAGATAATAAAAAAAATAATTAAATGAAATTATAGCTTTAATGAGAATCAATTAATATAAAAATATCATTTCAAGATCAAAAATAAAACTTGCAATATATTTACATAAAATTTGTTATATAATATTTACTATCTCTTCATTTATTTTTTTTCTAAATGATAAAAAGAAGTAGAAGTATTTAATAATCTTTCAATATATATAAAATCATTTAGCAAGCAAGAACAGAGATCTTTGAAAAAACGATGATTGTTCTAATTCAATCGAATTGCATGTTCTTGCGCCACGAAATAAGATCTCCAGATTTCTATTTCTATTGAATGCATCTATCAACAATAAATTATTCTATGGGAAAATAAAATCATTATTTCATTATATCTTATAATTTTCTCATATATCGAAATATTTGTATATAATTATACATATTTTTTACAATTATAATTGCATTTCCATAATTGAATGTAAAATACATATCTACATGATTAATTTGTTCGAAAATTATACTTCGAAAAAATAATAAGTTCATCTAGATTAATATAGACATTTCATTTATAAAAAATAAAAATGTTAAAAAGATAAAGAAAAAGAAACTTCTAACCTATAAAACTCAAAAGTATGATAAATACAACAAATTTATCATTCAAAGTTCCTTTTAAAATAATTTTTGATTAAAGAATAATATAAATATTTGTATATTAATTTTTTTTAATTTGGATTTATAAAAATGAAATTATACGAATATTCATTTTTTTAAAATTGAAACTTCAAATTAAAAGATTCTATTATATTGACTTACTTTAATACGTGGAATCATTTTCTCTTTGATTATATTAATTGTACTTGCAGCAAATTTCTTCTTTTTTAATGATTAATAAACATGTGAACACACTTAATAATAAAATAAAATTTAATAAATAATATTAACTTGTCAAATCGAACTCTGCAGATGCGACATCTTCATATACTAACGATAATCTGATGTACTATTATATGAAATAATCGATATCAATCGATTGAAAGTTTATTAAAACTTCAGAAATGAAACACGAAATAAAGGTAAGAAAATCTTATATAAATGAAGGAATATATTTTCAAACTATTATTAATTCCCTATCATTTTCCATATTATACATCCGTAAATACGGAAATTACTTTCTTTTAGACTGCTGTCATTACATTTCAAAAACACGATCTAACCTAAATTTATTTGCGTGATCGAATGTATTCCCAGATAATTATTATCGCAAATAAAAATTTTTTATAGTGCATCAATTAAACGAATAATATTTTGTGATTTTCTAAAAACATATTAATATCTGTTCATTTAAATATATTTACATTGTTAATGAAAATTGTGACATAATAATATCTAATATTTTTTGAATTATGTAATTGAAATTTCAATTAATTTAAGATTAATTACTTATTTCATGCATAATATATAATAATAAAAAAATAATGATTTTTAAAGAAAATTTGAATATTTTTTTCATTTTTATAAAAACAGAATATTATGATTATGAACCAGAGCATAAAGAAAATCTCAAACATTTAATCTCTAATACTAAAAAATTATCAGATATATATATAAAAGATATTTACAAGTAACAATAGATATTATATCATATATTAATCAATAAAGAAAAGAAATATCCAATTAACATAATAAAAGAATTAATCTTTTATTATCATCTTTTTCGATTCCCAGTAACAACGATGAGATGGTACAGCCGCGCAGATCATTTCCATAAACTGGTACCCATAGCAGAAGGGAAGGCAAGAAAGTGGTGGAAGTTGTCGAATATTACAACCTGGATGGAGAATGGTACCAGGTTAGTCTGGTGTTGATCGCGGCACCGTGAACCACGATCTTATTTCTTTCGCGTGTATTGTGGACATAAACACGTTAAGGATTCTCGATGTCGCAAGTGTGAAACTCAATACAAGAGGATATAAAGACAATTTTTCAGAAGTAAGTCTCCATTTAATTTCATTTAATTTATTTATTAATAATTTCATTTATTAATGAATATTAATTATGTGAAATTAGAAATCAAACTTTTTTTTTTATTTTCTGAATTTTAAAAAAAAAACTATAATGTGATTAAGTTTAAAAAGCAAAAAAAAACCTTTTTTAAAATTTTAATCTTAAATTTTCTCTTATGAGATATAATTTTCAAAAAATCACAAATCCAATTTGATTTTAATTAAATTCTTTAATACTGTATTATAATACTGTATAGTTATAATAAACGTATATTATTAATGCATATAATTAACATGACTATAAGCAATCAATAAAAAATTCATAAATAACACGTCTAAATATTGATATAAATTGCATATTAATTCAATATTGATTTTAATTTATATATTTGATTAATTTATATATTTCTTTCATCTGATATCTTGAAACAATCTAAAATCTCAAATATTATGAAATCAAAGAGAGGAATTTACAAAGAATTTGCGAAATGAGGATTTGGTGAAAAGACTTCGTTAAAATATTAAATTTTGTCCACAGCTATTCGCCTTCAAACGATTGTTCTTGCCGGAAGATAACAGACAGTTTCGTCTTTAAAAACGGAATGTCGCAAGACGAATTAATTATAATCGCGATTTCCGTTCTTTCACGTTTTTTCGTCGAACAATACTCTGTACCGGCGAAATGAAGTCACGTGAATTGTGTAACAACGAAAATACGGCAAGAGAAGATAATCAGCTGGAATTCGTGTATCTGAAGTTTGAATCTAATTATGTATGTACGAGTATGTGAAACATCTACGAAGAAAATCAGGATAAAATTACGTATTTCGAATTGAGCAAATCGAAGGCAACTTTTGAGAATACTCTCAGTGAATTCCTATTATCTAATAATTTAATCCTTTTGTTTAAATTGAGATTGAGATTGAGATTCTTTTTTATAACGATAATTTATTTTTAACTATATTAAAAATATTTATTCAAGTTTATTTAAATTTTTTTATAAGTAAAGGATTCATTAATAGAAAAAATAGAGGAATAAACTTATAATAATATTTCAATTTCATATTCAAGATGTAATTAAGAAAATTCGTAATTCACAATTTTATAATCTAAGACAAGTATTAATAACATTCTTTTAAAAAAGATAATTAAAGTCACTCTTTTATCACCAATATTTGAGACTTTCTAATGTCTTGAATTCTTTTTATGTATAATTCTCATTCTTTTTTAATTTATAATAATTTATATGATAATATACTAATATAATTTATATAATAATTATATAATAATTAGTAATAAATATATTTGTATAAAATGAAATGATTTTTAAATTTAGTTTTATCAATATTAATATATATTCAGAGGAATAAAGGTATAATTAATGTAATAAATTAAGCTTGCATGCTTTTAATGATATTAAATTATTAAATAAACCGTTAATTGAAGAGATTTATCTTATTCTAAATTTGTGAGTTTTTGTATTCCCAACTTACATAATTGCAATAACATAAATTATTGTATAAGATTTCTGATGAGGATATATTATCTGTAAAATAAAAACAGATTGTAATAAGTCAATTGATCCTTAATAAACCAGATTGAAAAAAATATTTGGAGAAGGACATTCAATAATTAATAAGATTTCAATTTTCAAATCATTAAAATTTGGAATCTCAAGTCTCAAATCTCGACATTTGAAACTCAAATTTCAAATATAGATTTCCGTTTAAATCGAATTCCATAAAAAAGTATATAACATTCATCATATTATGAAGTTTCACATGTGTGAATTAAGATAAAAAGTTTCAATAGATTTCTTCGTGTATCTCGTAATAATGCCATTGCAGTATTATCGACTCCGCGTCGCGATATACCTTGGCATTAAGAATCATGGAATCATTCTACCTTTCCCTTGAAATATTCCCACTAGGTTCATCGTACTATTTATCTTACATTCTCTCTGACTGATCGTATAAAAATAATACTTCATTTTTCCTTATTCTTCTTTTTTTTTGTTTTTTATTAACAATATATTATTAACAAATAATATAATGATGGAAAAAATGTATAATCAATTGAAGTTCAATATTCTACTAAATATTCAGTAGGTTATTTATTAATTGAAAACCTGTTATAGGCTATCATCATTCATTAATATGTATGAACTTGTTATTCGTGTTACTTCTCTATTTCGACTAATTTCGATGATTGAATTTTGATTCTCATTTGGTTCTCTTTTTCATTATTTAATGAGATTTATTTTCATGATTATTTTACAAATATCAAAAGAGAGAGAGATATTTCAAAAATTATTTTTATTTAAATTCTTGATGCATCGTAGAAAAATTAACATTAAATAATTTTTTAATTTAATTTTTAATAATTTTTAGGTTAATTTAGATGCTAGAAATAAGTATTCTTGATATTGCATAAATTTTGATTGATATACACAACGATCTGTTATAAAGTGCAAAATGTTACGAGACACAAATACCTGAGAGTGTGATTTTATTGCGTGACAATCATGTAAGTATACATACGCAATAATTGGCAGTAAAACATAGTAAGAGATCGAAAGAAAGATCGTTGGCAATTTATACATTCGAGCCCGATGACGCAATCTCAGTAGCCGAGGACACAATATTTAAATCATTGACCAGAGATCAAATTGCATTAGTCATTTGTCATATTATGATGAAGAAAATCACTTTTTCAAACAATTATTGATTTCACAATCTTAATGTCTTTTTATGCATAACAATGCGAAGAATCATTTTAGGGAAAAAAGGAAAAATTCCTAAAAATAATTATAGGGAAAATTTGCAATTTAGGGAAAATAACAATCTTTCTAGATTTTTATATTAAAAAACAAATATAATTATATATGAGCTTTGTTAATTATAATTCTAAAAAAAGATCCTTAAACTAACAAAAATTGTTAGAACAAAATTTTATTTTTCAATTTTATTTTTATTTAAAAAATAAAAATTCTCATTATTTATATCTTATCCATTTATATCTACACAATTAAACGGCAATTATCTTTTTATGAAATGATAAAATTGATGAAAAATAAAGAATGATTGAAAATAAATTGATGTAATATTAAGTAGTAAAAATTGCTTTATTTATGAACAAAGGAATAAAATGATTATTTCATATCGTTTCATTAATATTACGACATGTGAAGTCATGCATAATTTACAATTCAGATATTTTTTTCTTTTGTCAGAAAGATCACTGAAGAAAGTGTGGGACGCTTCCTCGTTTTCTTTACCACGATTCCATACATTTATGAATGATGTAAATTATAACTGATGATACAATTTTATTTTCCAACGATCAAGAGAACACGAATGAACTTTCAAGAAAATAAACAATTGGGAGCTTGAAATTCTTTATTTAATTAGAAGAAAAATCTTATTATTGAAAAACAACTATTTTCTTATTGTTGTTTAAAATTGAAGACATATTCTATATACAAAATAAATAATTATATCAATCTAAAAACTTTACAATCTTTTCAATATTTTTAGAAATCCTGAAAAAAATTAGGGATAATTATATTCAATTTTGTTTCCATTAATCCAATTACTTTCTATCACTAATATATTTATTTGAAATATGTAATATTTTCTTTAAAATATTTTTTTTGTCAAAACAAAGTTCATTTAAAAGTGAAATTTTACGCATGCTCGAAAGAATTCAAGATGATAGTCTGGATAGGTGGCACCAGTATACTAGTTTGTATAGTTTATATAACCTCATGTAACATCGTAAAACTATCTATGAAACAAATTAATCCTTATATGTAATAAAAATCCACACGTGCATCACATATATCCGAAACATGTTACATCGTCACCTGAACGTGTTACATACGTTTATATCGTTACAATAAAATACATTCTCGATCGAGGACAAAATTCATTATTCCATCGATGACACGCCATGCTGCAATTAGACTATACGTTGTTAGTACTTATGATGGATCACTCTGGTAAAAAGTTAGGAAAACAGAGAAAAAAAGAAGCTAGTAGAACTGCGTGACTTTCATAATCGACACGGTTCTCGGTCAGTGAACGTAAGATATTGAAGGTGTGCATACACGATTACGCACCTTTGTAGTGGCGATGTCCTTTCATAATATAGTCTGATGCGATGCGAATAAAATCGAAATGATAACGCACAAGGTAGACAAAAATAAGAATTGTTAATTTTAACAGATTTTGTGACGATTTCTTTTATATATTCTTTTAAATTCTAATTTTATTCATTTAATAATAAAATAATTTAAAAATAAATAATTTATTAAAATAAATTTATTTATTTTTTCTATTTTCTTAATATTAGTTTACTTATATATATTTATAAATAATAGAAGACTTTCTTATTTCAGATAAAATAGTATAAATAAATAAAAATTTTCAAAAAAATAAGTTACTTCAGATTTATATTGATCTAATCAATAATCTATAAATACCAGTATGATCGTCACAATATCTTCATTTCATTGCATTTCATGTTTTCTCTCATTCCTCACAAATTTCATTATTCTCTATTATACCGATATTCGTCCACTTTCTATCGCATTCGCAATTCATGTTCTTAGTTCTCTTTATAAAATCCAATCTCATCTCCACAGAATACATTACTTTTAACTCTCATAACACCAACAAAAACCGAAACAAAATGATCGCAAATTCCATGCATCATCGATCTCCACGATTTCTGCTTCATCGATCATTCCTCACAAAAAACGAAGCAAAATGTTGAAATTTCTCTTTTCTTTTTCTCTCTCAAAGAGAAGAGGTATCATAAGAACAATAAGAGCTACATGATGTTCCACACGTGTATCTTATACACAGCAATAATTATAGTACACAACGATAGGAGAGTAAGTTGAAACGTTGAGAGAGAATGTGAAACGTAGAAAGAGGAAACGACATGTAAAAACCGTTATACCGACAATTTGCAGGTAAAAGGTAGAGTCTTCTTTCAATTGTTTTCTAACTTTTTTTTTTGAATCGTGATCTTTTTTAATATTCAAATGATATGATTTTCTAACACAATTTTTATTAAATTTTTATCATATAACAAATATAATGATTAATAAATCAAATAATGAAAGATTATAATTTATTTTCTAGAGTTTCTCTTTATGGTATGATTTCTCTTTATGGTGTTCAAATAACTTATGATTCTCTTCTCAAAATAGATATCAAAGTCCAAAATTCCAATGGAATAAGTCCTGTATATATATATAAATTATAGGTAAGAAAAGAATGAGCATATGATGAATAAATGGTAAAAATCATAATAAGAGAAATATATTGAATATAAAAGTTTTAAGTGATCAAGATAATTTATAACATAAATGTTTGATCTTCTTTATTATTGGAAAAAAAATTCTTCTTGATCTTAAATGGAATGACATGTTTATTTTATAATAACTCTCAATCCTCTTTCACTCTTTCTTCTTTCTTATCATTCAATAAGTCACTTCTTTCTATGCTCGAGAAAATACAATGATTTTTGCCCTTTTAAAAATCAAAAAATAAAAAAAACTCGATTCATATCGAGGTTAAATTTCAATTCCATTATTCCATAAATATTCGATTTACACAACTTTTATTATAATTAAAGATGACAACAGCAATCTTAAAAAAACATGTCAAACGTCTCCCTCTTATGGATCATGACTCATTGAGAACCACTGATATAAGGAAAAGAACTTTAAAAATAGACATCGATGGAAGAAAATCGGCATACTCATTGCGAATTCGATGCAACGATTACGATTGCAAAACAACGTGACTTGATTCCAGTATTGCTTCTATTAAAAATCATTAGAAGATCATAAATTATCTATATTTTATTATATATAAATTATTTAAATATAAATATTAATATAATTATTAGGATCTGTGATAATAACTAATATTTTTATAATATTTTAGTATTTATCTATATCAATTATTGTGTATATAGTATTTTCAAAGCTCGATACTGATAAATTTCCCCATGATAATTGAAATGAATCCAATTTTCGTTAAAATTATATAATCTCAATCCTGAGATCACTATGTATTTTCAGGATATTATTATAGGATATTTTATTACAAACAATTTTTTTTACAAAAGACTTGAATATTTTATTGTGCTACGATTTTACGAATCATAAAAAAAATTACAAAATTTTATATTTAATAAATTATAAATTAATTATATTAATATGTTTAATAAATTATAAATTAATTATATTAATATGTTTAATAAATTATAAATTAATTAATAAATTAATTATATTTAATTTTATAAATTTATAATGATTTTAATTACGTTTAAAACACAGACAATTATATGACTACAGAAAAGATAATCCTTAATTTTATTATTTATTAATACAATTAATAAAAATATCAAATATTCTTTTAAAAATATCTCATCGCCATTATACATGAAAATTATTATTAAGAATAAATTATTATTAATAAATTTAATTGATATTACAGATGAGCTGTAACTGTCCATTAACCCCATCGACTGGACCGACGCTGGCATCAACATGCGGTGGTTCATCCTTTATGCTATTCATGGGTCTTTTAGAAGTATTTCTTCGTAGTCAGTGTGACCTCGAAGATCCATGCAATAGACCTCTACCACCTCCTACTGTTAATTCCAGGTAAAACTTATTTACGATTAATTTTATATTATAATTTTTTACGAAGTTTTTTAAATTATAATGATTAAAAAAGTTTTAAACAAAAATTTAATAATAAAATAACTCACAAAATTAAAAATTTTAAGAAACACTACATATTGTTTGTTGAAAAAAAAAAATTTGAAAATTGCTAAATCAATATAGTCATATAATCTCATTATATTATATTATAATCATATGTTATTATATTCAATCATTGGAAATATGATACTATTTTAATATTCTAATCTCCGTAAACCATATTGGGAATAAAACTCGATTGACTTTAAGATTCCCTGGAAGCATTCCAATATCGATATCATAAGCAGTCACATATATTATACAGTATGAAAAGTTCCGCGAAATATATACCTCATACAAATAAATTTCATATTCCCAAAAATAAAATAACTAATGGCTCGAAATTTTCGAATTTTTTTGAGATTAAATCATACCAGATTGCGATCAACTAAAAAAAACAAATTAGTCATCTTTTGATAAAAATGATTCGATAACCAAGTTTATTGAGATCAAAAAGAAAAACCAATTATTGTATCTAATTGTACTGTACATTTTTATTTTATTTCGTTTAATACTTTGTTTCGTTAGCAAACAAATCCGCAAAAATTTGTACTATTTTATTTATCATATTTCTTGGTTAGAATTCTTTTGTCAATTTTAAATCGATATATTTATTTGTATTTGTCAATTTAATAATTGCATTCTTGTGTATTTTTATATTATACTATTAAATCTATAAAATTAATATTGTATAGATATTGTATAGATTTGTATAACTTTTTTTCGAAACAATAAGTTAAAAATATAATACAATAATATTACATATACATACAAAGCCAATATCACAGATTTTTCTTTTTCCTATCATTGTTATTTTTTATTATTTTTTGCATTCAATTTTCTTATATACTTCATAAATTTTTTTCAAAAACATTTATTAAAAATTTTATATTAAATATTTATTTAATATGTAATAATTTTATATAAACGATACTGATAGCCTTCATTTTTTCTTTTTTCTTTTATCATCGCCATATTTTTTTATATAGCTTCCGTATATCTCCATAAATCCTTCCTCTTTCCTATATAATATCGCTCCGTTTCATTAAAACGTCAACGAAGCATCAAAGCGAATCTAAAAAGATTCCGGAAGAATTCTGAACAAACGACAAGCAAATAATATTGCTTGAACAGGAACCAGATGTCTCTGCCATCGTTTGAACGATACCGAAGAAGACACGTTTAATTGTCGCGGACACGGTTCACATAATACTGTATAGAAACTCATTTTGTTCTCTGTATTCCTCTGTATTCGGAAGCGAGCATTCATGCATATATATATATCTGTGAAATCTTTGCGTGCATATATGCGCGAGTAATGGCCCGGTACCATTGTTTCGATGATTCTCTCACGTTGCATCATAGCTAACCTCATAGATCTGCGCTTGTACTTATGCCGGATGCGAACTGAGGCAACCAGCTTTGAACCAGCTATTAAATTTCGTATGGTTTTAGATAGATGCGAATCTGTGGTCTGTGTTATAGATAATTGAGTGAAATTGAAAGTGCATCATCAAGAATTGTTTATAGTTGCAATTCATGGCAAAAGGTGTGTTATGTTAAGTTAATGGTATGTCAATTTTTATAGAGAATTTAAAATATGATAAAGGAGGAAAATAATGAGAATGATAAGAAGTGTGATAGGAAATGTGCATATAAATAAATGAATTAATTCAATATTTAAGTGATATTCAGCAATTTTTTAATTGTTTAAAAAATTTTTTTGATAGTACTAAATATTTATTAAAATAAAATAAATTGATTTTGATTAATATTTATATTCATATTCATTCTTATTCATGAGAAAATTCGATAATAAGAAATTATATAAATGATTAGCAGATGAAACTATATTATAATTTATAAATCACTAAAATAATAATTAATATCACTTACTAATGAATTTAATATCGCTACACGCATTTTTTATTTAATTACAAATAACATTTAACATATTTTTCATCACATTTGAAATGGATTACCTTAAGATACATATATATATGAAATAATAACATTTTATAATAAAAATTATTTAACTTCAAAAAGAGATACTTGATATAAATTGTGGATTAATTATATCACACGATTAAGAAATGATTTCATAATTTTGATTTTAAATATTCCTGTTATGTACATTCTGTTACCCAAGTATTTGCTATTTTATTTTTGTTAACAGTAAGTTATTATGTATAGATTCTCAATACTTATGCAATTCATCATGAATATTTCGTATATTTATTGAATATTTTTTTACATCATTCTGTTTGAATATTCAGGATGCAAAAAATGAAGCATTATTAACTGATTTCTCGCGAGATACACATTCATCGGTTCATATGCATTTAATTAACTCGATTTCGCATTTCTCATGCATACTTCGAATTATATAACATTACGCTTTTGCTATATAATTTGATGCGGAATGACATGAAACAATCTCCTCTCTTAATCCTTCTAAGTTATCGCTTTTATTTAATATTCTTATTTTTAAATATAAGGCTTTTAAAGTTTTTTAAACAATTATAATTAAAAAATATCTAATATCTAAAAATATCTAATATTAATTGAATTAAAGTTATAGATATTTTTTTTTAATTTTATAATTTTAAATTATATGACAATGGCAAATGGTTCATAACGTATAAAATTTAATTGAAAAATCTTCATTTATTTTAATATCAAACTAGCAAAAGCATTTATTAATAATGATTACTTATAATACTTATTTGTAATTTGCAATATGTTATATAATACTATACATTTCCATTGAAGTAGAGAATGCTTTCCTTTACAAATATTCACAAATTATTATATATAATAAGCTTATTTAAAAAAGAAATATAGAAAAAATAAAATGATTATCATTTTATTTTTTAAAGACTTTAAGAAATCATACTATCTGTGACTAATAATGAGACTATAATAATAAGAATATAATAAGAAACTATAGAAGAATATAATAAGAGACTATAATAAGAAAAATAATTGAGAGGTTAAGTTAGATGATTCTTCTAAATGTTTTTCATAAGGCTACAAGTTTTCCATAATTTTGTTATTTTCAATTCATTTTTCATACTAAAATCAATATCATAATATAAATGTATACACATTTTGTACATAGAATTTGAAACAAGAAAATTACAATCACTTAATTGGAAATATAGAAATCGTATTGTAAAACCGGATTAGTGAAAGATTAATGAGAATATGACATATCGAATTAATAAGAATATCGATGGAAATAAAAATCATAATTTCGCTATTGTAAATTAATTTTCTAATCATCGTTTCGCTTCATTTTTAATTCATTTCCGTTGTTTTAATGGTAACGAGCGGAACATGATTGGTTAAAATTGACGATAAATAAAAACTGTCTTCTTATGGAAAGTTCTTATTGCATAAGAAAGTGGAATTGGCATTGATGAATACCAAATGACTTATGGATCGTGAATTTTATTTTATGACCCGGTACTTGGAAAAAGTTAAAAGGATGAGTTAGCTTGCATGAGTGAAGCAACAAACAAGAAATGGCGGTTTCATGAACGTTAGTGAATTGCACAAAGTCAATAAAGTGGTTTTGATCGATTGATATTAGAGAAAAATTATAGAAATATAGAAACAAAGAAAAGTATAGAAGAAAGAATATTGAATAAATAAGAAATTCAGTATATTTATTATAAATTTTCAAACTTTGATAATATCTATTTAATAATAAACTTTACTATCTAAAAGCATAGATTTTTTTTTTATTAAAATTTATTAAAATTTTCAATCATTTTTAAATTTTTGACTTTTGGTTAAAAATTTGATTAAAAATTTATTATTTGAGAAGTCCAATGTTAACGAATGTTGAAAATAAATTTGTCAAGAATTAAAAAGAATTAAAAAGAATTTACAAGTAAACTTGTATCAAGTAGAAAAACTGGTTTTCATGCTCATTAAATAATTATCCCAAGAATTATCTCATTTCCAACTTAAAAGGTAAGTAAGAAATGTTTGAAAATGAATGAAAATAATACTTAAAATAATGTCTGACAATAAATAACAAAATTCTAACCTAACTTTTTTTTCTTAGCACATATTAGTCATTCAAAATATTTTACTGGTAATAAATTTCTCGAAATTATTTAATTTTCATTGTTCTCTAGAAATACTTTTTTTAGAGTAATGACACTTGTCAAAAAACATGCGATACAGATCTTACGTTTTTAATAATTTATAAACTTGTTCCTAAACAAAGAAAGTGTTTACTTACATTTCACGGAATGCACACGAAGTTGCCCGAGCCTCGTGGCATTCAAAATACCAAACAAACTCCTGAGAAATCTACCTTTCGCTCACAGTCAGCTATAGGACATTAGTTCGTTCCTTTAACCCAGTTTCTAATTTGTATTACGGCAATCTTCGAATAAAGCGAAGATGCACTGATTTTTAGTGCTAACGGCTTGAGTGGACCGATCTGTCACGTATAAAGGAGTGAAATCGTGACCTTGCTCGCAATAATGAGTCTAATATCGTAAGAAGTAGAATAAATGTGTAGGATTATAGATTTGTGATAAAGCTTGACTTTGAGAAATAGATTATATAATATGATTTATTTACAATTAAGTATTTAAGTATTATTGATTACGTATAATTTAGTATAAAATGAAAAGTTGGATGATTCAGTTATATGATATATATTATTGAGAAATATGGATAAGATAACAATAAAGTATTGATTATGTAATGTATTGTAAATGATTATATTAAAGGAAAAGTGATGATTTATATAACTTGACAATAAAATTATGTACATTAGTATGAAACATGGAGATAAATGGAGAATATTTGTCTTTATTTTTAGGTATGATTTTGTAATTATCGGAGGTGGAAGTGCAGGTGCAACAGTTGCATCACGATTATCGGAGGAGCCACGATTTTCGGTGTTATTGTTAGAAGCTGGATTAGACGAACCCACTGGGACGCAGATACCTTCGTTCTTTTTCAATTTCATTGGAACTGACATCGATTGGCAATATAATACCGAAAGTGAAGATACTGCGTGTCTAAATAAAGATGATCGAAAATGTTACTGGCCCAGGGGGAAAGTATGTATACACTTTATTTGGAAATAATATTCGTCAAAAAATTAATAAAAAAAATATATAAAAATATTATGAAAAATATTAAAAGAACATTTATAAATTATCATTTAATCGATATGATATTTCATATATAATTAATAAAAAAAATAAATTAAAAAATTAAATAAATTATCGATAAAAAATTAATATCTATTTTTGTAGCAACTGTAAAAACATATATAAAACAAAAAATGTATAAACATATAAAATCATTAATTATGAAGAACACATTAGAAGACACAAAAACTTATTTATTACTTATTTAAAATATTTCAATTAGATAAATTGCAGTATATTATTTATTAATTTTTTATTATTTCCTTACATTATTATTTCATCTTTAATTATTGCTGTTAATTATTCCATATTATTTCATATAATCTTCTTTCAATTGTTGCCGTAATAACGTACAAGAATAGCCGACAGAAAGCAAACGAATGGATAATTAAAATATTATTTAGGTTCTGGGTGGAACCAGCGTTATGAATGGCATGATGTATATAAGGGGCTCGCGAAAGGATTACGACGACTGGGCGAGGCTAGGTAACATAGGATGGTCTTATCAAGATGTCCTTCCATATTTCATCAGGAGCGAGGATAATCTTCAGGCAAACACCATGGATTATGGTTATCACGGTGTTGGTGGGCCACTCACAGTCACGCAATTCCCTTATCATCCGCCCTTGAGTTATTCTATTCTCGAAGCTGGAAAAGAACTCGGTAAATTTATTTTTAATTTTTTTATTTATCTTTTATATAAACTAATTGGATTAATTTTCTGTTGCTTAGACAAACTGACATCTAATTAATAATAATGTTTAATATTAAGATATATCTGTTACGTTTTATTAAATGATAAAAAAGAATTTTTCTTATACTTTCTAAAAGAATTTGGTTCTAAAAGGATAATTTCTCTCAAAAGAAGATTACCAATTAAGTAATGGCTTAGTAAAATTCTGTTCAAAACAATTTCTTTTTAATATTCATTATAAGTATTCTGGTTGCAATAAAAATAAATACGCGAGAAAGTTGGAAAAAAACTGGAAAATACTCTAGTAACAACGAGTCGTTCTACTTAACTCGAATTGCATTTAACCTGTTATTACGAGACGTCGAGGAACTCGTTTCTTCTTTACATCGTTGTTATTGCTCGCATGAGTCTAATGACTCGTTTCGATACATTCATCGAAAAACTAGTTATGTAATTCGATCACCTCTGCTAATTGCGATATTGTGTTCACTGTTAACTTTTGTTTCAATAATAATACATCATTTTGATGATGAATGAACGCGTATCGACCTTGTTATACTAATTTACAAATAGCATTTTATCGAGTGTAATCTATTCCGAATTCCAACGCGGAACAAATTCGATCTAGTAATTTAACTTATTAAAATTTTAATTCTTAATAAAATATTTGATGAAAATACTTATGAGAAAAAAAAATTATTTTAAATTTCTAGAATTTTAAGTTTCAATTCTTTTGAGAATTTTGAGATCTCACAAAGGATTTGGATTTGAATTTTTATATTATTATAAATGTTTTCTTTAAATTTCAAATTTTCAAATTTTGAATTAAATTTAATTACAATGTTTCTCCAAATTATTTACAGGTTATGGTATCGCGGATCTAAATGGACGAACGCACACTGGATTCGCTATAGCCCAAACAACTTCCAGAAATGGTTCACGGCTTTCGACTGCCCGGGCATTTTTACGACCAGCTAAAAATCGTCCAAATCTCCATATAATGCTCAATTCCACGGCCACTAGAATACTGTTCGATAACAATAAAAGAGCAGTTGGCGTGGAATTTGTTCACGATGGAAAAGTCCATCGAGTCTCTGTGGCGAAAGAAGTAGTCATAAGTGGAGGTATTTATTTTAATATTAATATTTCAATATCAAGTAGAGTTAAATAAAGCAGTACAAATAATGCAATTTGAACTTCTATAATTTAACAATTTTTATGAGATTATTTCGTTTTCTTTTTTTTTTGCTGTGAAATTCTGTACAAACAAAATATAAATTTAAGAATATCAACGATATTTTGTTGCACGATTTGTCTACATTATTCTCAGAGAAATAAATAGAGAAATAAAGAAAGATTGCACATTAAAAAACCATTTGTTTGCAGATTCGAATCTAAATCGAATTATTTACCGCATATTTATAAGATATTATGCTTCTTATATGTTATTTTTGTGACTCGAATTTTAGCTACTATCTTTTTTCTTAAATATTCTCATCTTATTCTGATTGTATTTAGATTATTCTTATCTTTATAAATTGAAATTTATTTACATAAATCAAATTTCAAAATCATTTAATTAACAGCGTTTTTATAATTCAATTTAAAACGTTTTAAATCATTTTATAAATTATTTTATATTCTATTAAAAGAACAAATTGGAAATATTTGCATAAATATTTATAAATAACTGTAATAAATAACGATTAAAGTGAGAGAAATTAGATTTTATCGATGAATACATTTTTTTTTTTTACTATATAGAACTATTTGCAACATTGATGTATTTTTTAAGTAAAAATGGATAATGATTTTTTTCACAAAATTATATTAAGTTATTAAATTATTATAACAATTAGTTATTATAACAATTAGTAAGTTTATATTAAGATTGAACTTATTATTAATATTATTAATATAATTTATTAATATTATGTTTAATATTAAATATACATTTATATCATATTGCTAAAATTTGTTTAAGATTAATTACATTGATACAAAAAACTGATTTTTATTTGTAATATAACAGAAGAAATATTGTGTAATAAATAAAAATATTTAAATTAATTGATTGACATTTAAATAATATGATAATAATAGATAATTTTAAACACATATAGAATTATACACATTTTAAATATGAATTTATATTTTTATTATTATTATTATTTTATACTCTATAATAGCAACATTATTACATTTTATAATATATTTTTTTACATAAATTTATATTCATTAATGATTTCATATTCATGAAGTAATTTAAATAAATTTCTTTAACTAATTAGATTTCAAAATAAATAGTAAATAAATAAATTATTAATAATAATGATTTATAAAATAATTAATAATAAATTATAAATAATAAATAAATTATTTAATTGCATTTCTATGTACTTGAACAAAGAATTTAAGAAAAATAAATATAAAATAAAATTGTTTAAAAAGATTCTTCAGAAATTTAACACATTAATTTAAAATTATTTTATTTGAAAAAATAAATATATGTGTATTAATAATGTATTAAAGTGTAAACACATATTATCAAACATAATTTAAATATCATGTAATTATCTAGGATTCAATTTAAATCTATCATGTAATATCATCTAACGTGTGTAATGATAGCTATCAATCAAATTTCAGACCTATCAAAAAAGGAAAGCAGGAAGAAATGAGTTGCACTATTGAGAAAGAACAAATAATTTTCTTTCACAGAAAAAAATACTCATTATCAAAGTGTTTAAATAACCAATTTCATGGTTTACATATATGGTTTATGTTACACCATTCTACATGATCATACATGGAAATCTAATTTTTCACTTCCAATTTTAGTTTACTAGTCCGTATATTTCATAAACAATCTACATTTCTATATTTCTATAATCTACATTCAAGTTAATTGGTAAACAATATTTATTCGTAGTAAAGAATCCTTCACATTTTAATAGTAATTTATATAAAAATATGCAAGTATTCAATATTTAAAATTATAACTTTATTTCATTAAGATTTAATTATATAGTATTTTACGTTCGTATAACTTATAAAAATTATTAACATGATAACTGTAATTATAATATTATATAAATAATCAGAAATACAAATAAAAAATAAAATATAAAAACATTAATATTTTCACATAATTATTACAAAGTTATGATATTTCATTTATCAACTCATCATCAAAAATATTGAAAAATATTGAATGTTCTGAAACAATCACAGAATAATTTTAAAATAATTATTTATCATCAAAAAAATTAATGATTCATCATGATTTATACCTATAATCACGCGAATAATAGAAATTGCGTGCTAGAATACAAAGAAAATAAAGATTGCTACGGAAGAGGACACGTTTGGTTAATATATTGTTGACGAGGTTAGAAAGGACTCATTGATAATTATATATTAGTTACAAGGTCGTTTTTAAACTTTCATTCTATGTACATATTTTTCTGATTACTCAGTCTTTTGATATCTTCTTTTGTGCAATCGATCAATGACCATATTCTGTTCAAATTGCGACTTCCTTTTGTAAAATACAGTTGGATAATTATACAGAATTATACGGAATGATTTACGAAATACATGTATACTACATTTATTTCTATTACTAAAAAATAGACTTAATATTAAAATTATCAACTTGTAATTAATATAGCTAAATATACCATAAATAATTATAATTGTAATAATAGAAATATATATATAAATATACATACAATGAGTTTCTTTCTCAATATTAATTATTATCAAAAGTAGTTTTTTTGATTTATGATTAAAACATCATTTAAATATGTGTAATTTTTATTATTTAGGTGCCATTAATTCACCACAAATACTTTTGAACAGTGGTATCGGTCCTCGGGAAGAATTGAACGCTGTTGGTGTCCCGGTTATTCATGATTTACCTGGTGTAGGTAAAAATCTTCACAATCACGTTGCCTATACACTGGTCTTCACTATTAATGATACTGACACGACTCCCCTTAACTGGGCAACTGCAATGGAATATCTTCTCTTCAGAGATGGATTGATGTCTGGTACAGGTAAGTTAAAAATATATTTAAAAGTATTATCTATAATTATATTACAAAAAATCTACCATAAATTATAATGCAACAATTAGAATTTTCTTGTAAACTAATTCATAAAATCGTTTCTAAAAAATCAAAGAAATAAAAGCAACTATAGCAAAAGCTCATCAAATATTCGATCTTCGAGCTATATCAAAACAATTACGAGTGTCTGCAGTCAGTGAAAGTTTGTTACACAATAATCCTAGTTCGTGTTGTTTGTCACGATCAATTTAATGACGCAACAGCGTATTCAATCGGTCCGTTTACCATCATTTGACCCGAAAGCGATTGAAAAATCACTCTATCGTGGTTTCTAACGAGTGACTAGTCTATTGAAAGTACATTTTACGAGTTCATAAGTTGTCGAGTCATTTCCACCAATCACCCATGACCAATAACGTGACCTGCTACGAAATCGGACCAATTAGCGTTCGATTCATTGCTTCGTCGGTTTGTATGCTTCCACTGTTCGTCGTTGCACGCATGTTCCCGACGTTTTATGATCGATCACAAGTTTCGCACAAATCTCAATCGTGCAATCTATAACAATTCCTTAGGTGTAACTCGTAAGTTTAATTACATCGTAGTAATTTACAAGGTAACGATCGAATCATTAGATTTTCGTTGAAATAATCTCTATTAATATCGTGGCATGTATTTTGTTTCGTGACCTAAGAAGATGTTTGAAAAATCATTTGAGATTCAAAAATATTCGTAATATTCGTATATAAAAAAATATTTCGTAATATGCTTTATATTAAAATTTTATCATGAAATAAATTATTTAGATTAGATGATGATTAGAGTTCATATTATTTCCTTTCAGGAATTTTGAATTATATCACAATTTTCGATATACTTTATATTATATCAATTATATTTTATATCAATCATACTATATTCTCCAATTATTTTCTATATAATTAACAGGTATTTCTGAGGTAACAGCGATGATAAATACGAAATACGCGAATCCAAAGGAGGATCATCCGGATGTTCAGTTGATTTTTGGTGGATACCTAGCAGATTGCGCAGAAACGGGTATGGTCGGTGAAACGAAGGGTAATAACCGAACGATTTACATCATTCCAACATATCTTCATCCGAAGAGTCGTGGTTACCTTCGTCTACGAAATAACGATCCTCTTTCGAAGCCGTTGATCTATCCGAAGTATTTGAGCCATCCTGATGACGTAGCGGGTCTTATAGAGGCTATTAAATTCAGTATCAGGTTGTCTGAAACTGAGGCTCTCAGCAGGTACGACACTTTCTATTTGTAATCTCCAAGTGTAATTTATATAAGTATCGATTTTCTCTCATTGAGTAGTTTTAACTAAGATCAATAGCATCTTCGATTTTATTCAATTAGTGTTTGCTAATAGATCGTAATAGATCATTGAATATATTAGACTCTGTAAATTCATAGATTCTAAATTTATTTTTCTTATTAAATTAATGTTTCACAATCTTTTTAGAATTATGATTCTTTTATATTTTTTTTTTTCTCTCTTTATAGTACGATAAAAATCAGTTATAATTATTATTGCAATATCATATTAAAATAAATAAATATTAATTTAATCTTATTAAAGAAGCTTTTTGTAAAAATAACATTTATCTATCGATAAACAATTGGATGTTATCAATCGAGTAAAACCTTGGACGAAATCTGTTTTACCTTACAATATCCTTAGTAGTGGGGGAATCCTTATTCGAACAAACATTATTTTATTTAAACACAAATATATTTTATTTGCAAAAGAGGTAATGCTATTTATTGCTATTATTTTTAGTTAATGACTTTCAGCATTTATTTATTGTATATAATATAATTACATTACTATATTTTACAAAAATATCAAAATGATCATTTCGTTATTTAAGTTAAATATAACGTTAATCATTTCGTGATAATGAAAATGTTTTTAATTTTCGTTATTTTATATGAAAAAGGAGTTATATCTTATTTAAGTTATTTAAATATTATAAAAAAGGATTAAAACAAAAATGATTAAAAAATATTGTAATAAAATATATTATAATATTACATCCGTTTAAATACTTTAACAATGTTTTTTCCGCATTAAATTTCATTTTCTTCTTACAGATATGGATTTCAATTAGATCGTACACCCGTGAAAAATTGTGAGCACTTAGAATTCGGTTGCGATGCTTATTGGGAATGCGCTGTAAAGCATGATACTGCGCCAGAAAACCATCAAGCAGGTTCTTGCAAAATGGGCCCACCGGACGATCCTCTCGCTGTAGTAGACAATCAATTAAGAGTCAGAGGAGTGAGAGGCGTCAGAGTAGCGGATACTAGTATCATGCCAAGGGTCATTTCCGGTAACACAAATGCGCCCGCTATTATGATAGGAGAACGCGCCGCAGACTTTATCAAGAGGACCTGGGTCGGCTGAAAGAAGTTTTTTCATTAAAAGGAAACTTCCTTTGAAATAAAAAATTACACAGAAAGAAATTTATAATTGATCATCGATTTATGAAATATTGAATTTAAATGAAAATTTGATTTTTAAAAAGAAACGTAATTGAAAATAAATATAATTTAATTATTTAATTATTTAAATTATCTTTGATCTATTTTCAGAATATTTTTCAAATAATTATAAAATTTTCCTTTAAAAATGAATCTTTGAAATATTTTTAAGAAATCTGAATTGGTTTTCACTTTGAATTACTTTTAAAAATTGAAAAATGAAGAAGTTTCTAATTTATAAGAGGAAATTAGAAAGATATACGATGAATTTAATTACAAATTTCTTTCAATATTTCAATTTTTAAAAAGCTAAGGTAGCGCTGTGCGCATTTATAATTTTTATAAAATATTATAAATATTCTATATATCGTTAAAAAATTTTAAATTCATTTAAATTTGATAAATCCTAGATTATTTGTAGTTTTAGAAAATTAATGGCGGTAGCTACCTCTGCTTTAAACCCTTTCTTTTTTCAGGAAAAGGGCATGGATACTGTAAATAGTTCAATAATAGTATCAAATAAAATTATTTTAATATAATAAATATAATTTATATTGTTAGTAAGTATTATTTTTAATTTCAATGATTCTTTCACGTATTTTCTATTTTCTCTGAAATTAATTGAAATTTTATAATTTTATTACAACAAAAACAATAGAATAAAAATTATATATGTAATTATATATAATTTTATATATATATAGAAAATATAGTACGAAATATAAATAATGAAAAATAATATGAAAAAATGTTCAATATATAAAAGATAAAAAATAATTTAATAATAAACCATTTGGAATTACTACAACTACATAATAACATTTCTTTACAAATAATGTTAAGAAAATAGAAATGAAGAAATAAAACTGTCTGGTCTTGGAAATACTGATAACATAAGGAACCACATCGTTGGATCACGTATCACGTTTTGCGAGCACTCCTTTTATATCCTACTGGAAATAGAATGTCACTCTCTGTAGAAGATCTCAGCTCTTCCGAGTTGATGGTTATGTTTTCGTGCCATTTTTCTATTCTTCTTACAGTTATTTCATCCGGAAAACAATATCATGATTCTTTCAAATAGTAAAGGTGAGATATATTATTAAATTTATCAATTTGATTCCTATAAAAAAAACATATTTTTATATTTTTTGTATTTAAACATAAAATTATGTATTAAGCTATTTTTGAAATTTGTTATAAAATTAGTAATATTTTTTATTTATATATTACTTATATATTTATATTTATATAATATTTTTACATAATACGTCTTCCTAAGATTATAGGTATGTATTCTAATGTATTCTTCGAATTGGTGATTTTTGTCATTGTGAAATAAAAATAATCATGGCGATAAATAATAATTTTTCGATTCCAACAGATAAATAATCGATATTTACGTATTTGCATCAAACATATAGTTTATTAATTTTAACGTTTTTAATTTTATTTATATGCCATCAGTGAAATGAAATTTTAGAATTATGAAATTATTTTTATATTTGCAATAATCAGTTATCTTGAACAATTCAAAAATAATTTTATTTTCAGAAGCACAAGATCATAATCGAATTAAAAATTATCAAGCAAATTTATATAAACTTGACATCTACAACGGTATCTACTTTTGTTGACATTCGTTTCATTTATATGTACGTCTTTCGGATATTCTCACTGAATTTATCTCTGTGACCCAGTTCGTGTCTAGTCTTAATCCAGAATATTTTGCCAATACCTTTTGATCCTACCACATTTACAAGATTTTTCTTCTTATCAAAATGATATTATATTAATATAGCATATTCCAAATTTTAATTATAAAAGCATAATAATTAATATTGATGTATTTTAAAGAATACATATTCAAATACTATTTACAATTGAATGTTATTAAAAACATATTAAGAAATATATTATAATATATTTTTCGTGGATGTATTAAAATTAAAAAACCAATTCAGGAAAAATACATTTATTTATCGTACGTGTAATTACATTATTACAAACTGTTAAACTCATTTACTTAATCATTAATAATCATAAATATTAATTTACATAAACTCTTCTATAAACAAAGAAAGCTTCTTTTCCGGATGCAAGTCTCGCATCCTCGTCATTATCGATTTACCATTTCCGTTTCGAAATCCAGTTCGTTTTCATTCCCTTTCGATGTAGTTGTAAAAATAGCGCGATGTATACTAAATTGTAAGAGACTAGATTCATTTTATTACGCTCCAATAAAAATACAGCAAAGGAACGTTCGATTCCCCGCAATCAATAGCTACTCCGTCTTCGTTTGTTGCATTTGTACATTTTTCGAATTTTCTGTATGTCTCTTTTGCTGAATCCTTCTCTCTGACCCAGTTGAACTCTCGTATCACCCTGGAATATTTCGCCAATAAAACTTAGAAGGCCACCTGATTCCTACGAACATCCATACACACGTGGACTTTTTCTTTGCAAAAATTTTATATAAAATATTTTTTCGTAATTACGTATCAAAAAATCATAGTTTCTTTTTTAAAAATTTAAACAAAATAAAAAGAGGATTGTACGAAATCGTTAAAAATAAATCACTCGAAAGAAAGATTCTCGATCTGTCGATTACAATTCTAAAAAAGATAAAATAATTTTTAAGAAAAAACAGTTACTTTTATTTATAATTATTTAAAATAACAATTCTCAGAAAATTATTACGATAAAAATATTTATTAATAAAATAAAATAAAAGAAAAAAATTATCGAAATACTAAAATCTTGACTTAATTGATGAGATACGATTGCCTTTAATTGCTATCATATTTATCTTTCTTCTTCAAGGTTCGCAAACTCATAAATGTAAAACAGACTTACGAGATCTTTAAAGAGAGATAATCATCATTTATAGAAAACCTTAAACGGCGACGTGTCACGCGTAATATGATATCGACATAAATCAAATTTTTATTAATAGACCGTTCGTATATTTACGAGATCTCGAAAAGCCACATCGTTTAAAGTTAGAAAGTTTAAGGGGCCTTGATAATTTCGACTTATCGTATTACTTACTTTTGGCACTATGGTGGGTTGTCCGTTCCTGGAAAACGCGTTCGCAGAGTAATGCATTACGCTGCCATAATCGTATCCAATCCCGAACGCGTCGGTAGTTTCCTTTGAGGCTTTCTCAAAATTTCCGGCATGATCTAAATAAATATTATTTATGCTCATATTTAATTGCAATTTTAAAAAATAATGTATTATTTTATAATAATTCATAATATTTCATAATTAATTTAAGAATTCGAATAAAGTGATAAATATATAAGAAGAAATCAAAATTTTTTACAATTTTTTAAAATTCTAAATCTAATTTAAATTAAAAAGAAATTTAAATCGACGAGCAATGGTTATATTTTCAACATTTATGAGATACCTTGCATGATACAATTATTGAAATAAAATGTTAATAGGAAATAAATAATACATGATCTATTTTAGGAATATTAATATTAATTTGAAGCTTCACTTTCGAATGGAGAAAACTACTTACTGCGCAAAATATTATTCCATTGAATCGTGACATACTCGTCCCGTTCAAATCTGCTCTGCTCGTGCAGGAAACCAATGGCGTGCATCAGTTCGTGTATCACGGTACCTTTCTTCAATAAACACCCTGGAACCTGAAGATTCACGTCTTGTTTACCACCGATTCTTCCCACGCTGCTCCAACAACCAGTATTGCCAGCCGTGATCCTGATATAATCGCTCTCCTCACCGGTATAAGGTTTGAATTTAACACACGTGTACTTGTGGTAATCGTTCATTGCTTCGTAAATCAAGTTTCTCTGAGCGGTGTCTGTAATTCAATCCGATTAACAATTCCTTTTTTTTTTCCTTCTAGATTTTCATAAATTTATATCTATCCTGAAGTAGAATTAAAAAATATTATCAGATTATTCTGTTAATTTTTTTTTTTACAAAGAATTCAAAATTAAGGATAGATAAATTAAAAATAAACAAAATTAAGAATAAACGAAAGGACAATTATACAACATGGACAATACTTTTCTCAAGGAAAATTTAAATCCATGAAGGTAAAATTAAAGATGCCATTTTTTAAATTTCTATAATGAAACAAGAATTAATTAGAGCCGTCTTTTCTCGCTTCCAATGTGCGATATTACTCACCGAAATAAGGGCTAATCATATACGGCACCACGCCACCAGGCCACCGTGCAGCTTCCGCTTTAAGTCCGTTCTTGCCGAGCTGAGGCGGAAACAGGATATCACCCTCCGCATAGTTACCCAACTCTTCCGGGTTGCGGTCCCATCCCTCGTGCCAATTCGCTACAATGGCTCCAGTTTCGTTGTCCGGATTCCGATACAACATCTCGCCAAAATGTTGCAGATGAGCGATCACACCGTGAGGACTGTCCACAGCATTGTCGAAGATGTCTCGACGACGAAATGGCCAGGCTGATACCGAAACCAATAAAACGGAAAAAGAGATAAAGGATATACGATTCATAGCGAGTTGTATCGTATTCGAAAGAATATTTAGAAGCGTCTTCGCAAGGTGTTGGAACTGATTCCACTGACGAAAATTCACCGGTTCTCCCTGACTTTATACGCACCTGAAAAACCCCACCCGTGGATTTGCTCGATGCTTCCGCTTGATATGGAAACGATCGGGGACGGTTGGTGATAACTAGTGGACTTTGGGTAACAGGAAGTAGAGATTTATTCGTACGATTTCTCAAAGCTTTACGCGACATTATATTTTTGATGTATGGGATGATGGTCATGGAGGGAATCATCGAATGTCATCGGTGAGGTTGTAAATAATATCATTGATTCATAATTCTGAATCATTTTTTTTTTCTGTATACATTTGAGAAATTTTATAAGGAAGATTATTGGGTGATAGAATAAAATTTATCGAAGCATAAAAAATTTTTATATAAATATTATTTATATTTTGTTTGTCTCTGTTATAAAAAAATATTAACAAATTTATCTCTTTTTTAATATAAAAAAATATAAAACTGTATATATATATAATACACTGTATATAAAAGCTTTAGCATGTAAAACTATAATTTTGGTATTTTAATATCTTATCTTCTATATTTTTAATATATAATAATATTACTAAAATTTGAATATAATTTAATATTATAAAAAAAGTGAAATAAAAACAAAAAATTTGATTCTTTCTTTTTATATATCTTATTACTTATTATAAAAATACGAAATATATTACAATTTCCATGTGATTCGATTCTGAATATAAAAAAAAAAGAATGAAAACATTTACAAATGCGGAAGAGAAATTATGATTAAATTAAAAATCTTGATGGGTCATTTGAAGTAGTAAAGTATTATTTACATGTCGCTCTCTCACGTCGATTGAAATTAACATCCTCCTTCGCACTTTATTCAGATGCAAATCTCGTTGGATAACTCCTTCCTATCATTGCTATTCGATATTTTCTATAGACCTTGCCAGTTCCTTCATAACGATGACTATGAACTTCGAAGGTCAGTAATAAAGTCTTTCTTCTTATACCTCATCATATTCGAATTATGATACTTTTTTCTTTTTACTGGCAACTTTACATTGAAACATCATTGTAATGACGATCGTATATATCTGTCAAATTATCCTCTTTCCCGTCGAATCTTTTAATAGGTATTAGAGAATGTTTAATATGATAATGAAAATAAATATATTCAAATACTTATCTTTTTGCTCGATTTTTTATATATATATTAATATAATTGTTATAATTAATTCATAATTATATAATTATTTCATTTTAAAACAGTATTTTCATTTCTTCGTATTATATTAAAATTTTAATCTAATTTAGTTTTCAACAAAAATTTAAAATTTAAAATTCTTTTTGTAGTTTCAGTCTAGATTATAATTCGTTTAAGATAAAAAGAATTGTATCAAAGTAAAATATATTTAAAAAACCGGTTCAATATATACAGACTTATTTGAAAGATAAATTTTTACATGACACCCTTTTTGCTATTATACGAATTAGATAATTAAAATACTAACTTTCAAGTGATAATTTGCATTTATTAGGAACTTTATTTACATATACATAAATCGACATTTACGAAATTTAAAAATAATTCAAGAAAGAAAGAAAAATTAAAATTTCAGTAATTTTGTAAAAAGAATTTCCGATAAATTAAGAATAATGATTAATTAATTAATCATATGTACTAGGTATATATATATATATTATTTTTAAAATATATTAATATATTTTTTTATTTTATAATAATATATATATATATATATATTTTGATAAAAATAATTTTTTCTTTTATAATTACAGGAAAATAATATATAATTATATACCACAGGAAAATAAATATATAATTATATATATACTTGTATCATAAATAAATTTAATTATTTATGTTACAAGTTAAAATTTCTGATTAATATTCATTTTTTATTTATTTTTTATCTTTTTATCAAGTTTATGATTAAACATCAAAATATAATTCATAGATAACATTAAAATCTGTTTATAGTTTAATTTATTAAAATATGTTTATCATTATTGTTTAATCAAATCGTATATGGTGAAAACTATTCGTTATATATCTCTACAAAACTTTTATTAGGTTTAAGTTATTTGATGTAAAATTCGATTCTTAAATTCATTTATTCTTTTCAATTGCAATTTTTAAATTGCATATGTATATAGATGTCGTTATAATCGTATAACGCATGTTTCAAATTGATCAACCCGGCAAGTAACCTTGAAACTACGTAAATAACATTACCCTTTTATTAAAAATTCATTTAATATTTAATAATAATGACGCTCGATAATTCATGGCATATAATCAAAACTGCAGCTGCAGAGAATAAACATGAATTAGTGTTGTCAGGTCCGGCAATTTCTGAATTGATTCAAAAAAGAGGCTTCGACAAGTCATTATTTAACCTAGAGCATTTGAATTATTTGAATATTACACAGACATGTTTACACGAAGTGTCAGAAGAAATTGAAAAATTGCAAAATCTAACAACATTGGTATTGCATTCGAATGAGATTTCGAAGATACCTAGCACAATCGGGAAATTAGAAAAACTAAAGGTTCTCGATTGCTCTAGGAACAAGTTGACGTCTTTACCAGATGAAATCGGTAAACTTCCACAATTAACAACTATGAACTTCAGTTCGAACTTTTTGAAATCATTACCTACGCAAATTGACAATGTTAAGTTGACTGTTTTGGATCTTTCGAACAATCAGTTTGAAGATTTTCCTGATGTGTGCTATACAGAATTGGTTCATCTCTCTGAAATCTATGTTATGGGAAATCAAATAAAAGAAATTCCTACAATTATAAATCAGCTTCCATCTTTAAAAATAATAAATGTAGCAAACAATAGAATTTCAGGTAATTTCTTAAATGATGCCAAGTATATCCAATGTATTTTATATAATTGATCTGATTTTTTTTTTCTTTTATATAGTCATTCCAGGTGAGATCGGTGATTGTAATAAACTCAAGGAACTTCAGTTAAAAGGAAATCCATTATCAGACAAAAGATTATTAAAATTAGTTGATCAATGTCATAATAAACAAATATTAGAATATGTAAAATTACATTGTCTTAAACAAGATGGTTCTGTTAATTCAAATTCAAAATCAAAAAAAGGAAAAAAGGTACAAAAATTATCAGAAAGTGAAAATAATGCTAATGTAATGGATAATTTGACACACAAAATGAAAATACTAAAAATGGCAAATGATACACCAATAATTAAGGTTACAAAATATGTGAAAAATATTAGACCTTACATTGCAGCTTGTATTGTTAGAAATATGAGCTTCACAGAAGATAGTTTTAAAAAATTTATTCAACTTCAAACTAAATTACATGATGGCATATGTGAAAAAAGAAATGCAGCTACTATTGCTACACATGACTTAAAATTGATTACTACTGGTAAATATGAAAAACAATAGAAATAATTCAGATATATAAATTACATTTATTTATCTGATACATTTCATTAATGTCATGTTTAATATTTAGGAGATTTAACATATACAGCAAAACCACCAAATGAATTAGAAATCAAGCCATTAATGCGTAATAAAGTTTATACTGGTTCTGAACTATTCAAACAATTACAAACTGAAGCTGATAATTTAAGGAAAGAAAAAAAACGCAATGTATATTCTGGCATTCATAAATATCTTTATCTATTAGAAGGTAAACCTTACTTCCCTTGTTTGTTAGATGCTTCAGAACAAGTTATATCATTTCCACCTATAACGAATAGTGATATTACAAAAATGTCAATAAATACCCAAGCAATATTAATAGAAGTAACCAGTGCTTCGTCCTATCAAATTTGCAGGTAACATTAGAATTCATTAATTATAATTAATATTTACTATTAAATTAATTAATTTTATTAAAAATAATATTAAAATTAACATAAAAAAATTATTCTGATTATAAATCTATAAAGTAAACTTTTACTTTTTTTTTTATTAGGAATGTATTAGATCAATTTTTAAAGGAACTAGTTACTTTTGGTTTAGGATGTGTCTCAGAACAAGAAAATGCTTCAAATTATCATAAATTAGTCATAGAACAAGTAAAAGTAGTAGACATGGAAGGTAATATGAAATTAGTATATCCTTCAAGAGCAGATTTAAATTTTGCAGAAAATTTTATAACAGTATTACGCGAGTAATAAATTACTGTAAGTAATTAAATTGTTCTTTAATCTTGATCTAATCTGCATTTTTCTTTCTTAATTTTTTTAACTATTATTTTTTTGATTGATAACTTGTAAATCTAAATTATTTTCATATTATTACTTTTTCATAAATAACACATTATTTTCATATGCCAAATTGTAATTTTTTATTTGTTACTCTGTGAAAATCTTAAGATAGTATGCAATGTATATAATATTTGCATATTTTATACAGAATCTTTTTGGTATGTATCAATATAATTATATTTTAATCATAATATTTTTATACTGAGATTTGAATCTATGTAAAAATAATAACAATAAGTGTTTTATGTTATGAAAATCAAAAACTGGAAAATAAATATTAAAAAAAAAAAATTTATTATTTATATTTTGACTTATGTTTTATTCTTCATAAATATATATAGAAGATTATAATTTCCTAAATGTTAATAAAATAACAATTTAAACTTTCTTTAACTAATAAATATTAATGCGTATATTTTAATATATTTTATTTGTTTTTAAAATCTGAAATACATATTCGAAATTATTATTAGATTTTATAAAAGATGAAAATCACAAAATCATCATTTGTCACTACAAATCATAAAATTTGATCACTATACATTTTTTTGTGTACAACATTAAAAATATCTTATATAGAATAGAATGATTAACCGCAAATTCAAATATCGATGAAAAACCGCCATTTTATTGGCAGCTGACGACATTGGCGCTGTCGTATCGCGAATCATCCCATAGTAAGCCGGTGAAGAATTCTCATCTGTTTTTATAAATATTGTACTTTGTTTCGTATATCTCAATGCAGTGCAAACTATAAAGATTATCTAAGTGAGAGGTTTTTGTTCATTTTAATAAACATAGTTGGTGAAAGTTACATTTCAAAATATTTAACGACAAGAAGAAATTCGCACGAATTCTGAACTTTCCAACATGCGCGAATGTTTAAAGTGTTAACATGGCGCCGAAACATGACTGGTCATGACGGGGGAATGAGAACGAAATTTTTGAGGTTAGTTGATCATTTTGTCATTTAAGTAATGTCGTATATCGTAAATTTGTCATATAATTAGTTGTATTAATATAATAAACATTACAATAGAAATGTCTATTACATATATTCCACATAATTTAGTTATCATTGCAGAAAACACGTGTCACATTGTATAATTTATCAGTTGTTTTTATAATGATTTAGCAGAACGTCTTGATAGTAATAATAGCTACTTTATAAATATCACTGAACAAAAGAACTTGTATTAGACTTTATATTACTGTATTTTTTATCAATTTTGTCATAGATATTGTAAATTTCATAGATTGATGCAATATTATTGAAATTTCTTGTATTTTTTATTTTTTATTATTATTTTTATATGAAATTTTCATAATGTGATAGATCTTTTATCTTTTATTTTTATCTTTTCTTAATTTCTAAAAACTTTATTTAGTTTTAAAATACTAAAAAATTTGTATAATAATAAATAAATTAATACAGATGAAAAAATTTTTTATGCGCATCAATAATTTTCTAGTAATAATTAATATATATTAAATTAGTATAATTCATACTATATATTTTATTCATACATAATGACTTATATGATTATAATATTTTATATTAATGGTTATTATGATAAAATATATATATATATATATATATACACAATTATTATATATTATATTATTATATACCATATAAAGAACAAAAATATTTATTAAATATTTTCTCAAAATTTTATATATTTTTTCCATTAGATTTATATGTTATAGATACATCAATGAACAATAAACTATGAAATACATCAAAAACTACAATATACACAATTATGATAAACTGAAATATATTTTTAGTATTACATTAAAATATTTAAAAATCAATCACATTTAGTATACTTATTAATTTTTTCCTAATGCCATTCTATAATATTTATTTTTCAAAAAAATTATTAAATTATACGCATTATTTAAAAATATAAAATCAATTATTATATATAAAAATATACGAGATCTATTGGATTAAATTGATATTTGTTTAAATATTTTAAAATTTTAACTGTAATATAATATAAAATACATAAAATATATATTTCTTAAAATGTATAATATGTATATTTGTTATTATTAAAATAACTGTTATTGTTGTTATTAAAATAAATTTTGACTAGCATCATCTATTTTTTTGTTATTTATCAACTCAAATGCAAATATGGCACATTTAATTAAATCAATTAGTAAATATGTAATTATATATTTGTATGTAAAGGATAATAAATTAGGAAGATTAATTAATCACATTTAATCTGAATATATGCTAAATAAATGCAATAACTTAATTCAATTTTGAATGTTCCTGTCTTTCCTTGAGATCAATAATACTTAAATTGATACAGGAAATATATCCATGTAACAATGAGATAGCAGCTTTAATAAATGCTATGGGAGCAGAGAGATACATTACCAATCTAAATAAACTTATACCAACAACTGAAATAAAAATGTATATTTTACAATATTTAGTATAATATCTAGCATTGTTAATATGTACAAAACAAAATATATATAGTAACTTACAAGTAGGTCCTTCAGTAAAAAAAAGGAGATATAATGCAGCATAAAAGGCTTCATTACCAGCACACATAAAAAATAAAACTTTACGATTAGTGTAATACAGCCTCATAATTGGATTTTCAGACATATCAATAAATTTATGACTTGTTTTTCCTTGTAAAAGAGACCTATAATATATTTTCTTATATTTTTGTGTAATAATATTATGTATATCTGAATAAAATTTCTTACGTATGCAAATATATCCAGTGACAACTAATATCAATAGCCATACTTAATTGAAACCAAAATGAGTAAGATGGATAAAATGTACAGAGTGCAGCTAAAAGACACATGGTACCAATACGATCAGTTAATTGATCAAGCATAGCACCAAATTTGGTGCCTTGATTAAAATATCTTGCTGCATAACCATCTATTGCATCTAATAGTGCACTAATAATATAACACCATGATGCAATAATATAATTAGTTGTCATGAAATAAAAAGATATGATAGCCAAAATCACTCTGCCATAGCCTGTTAATATAAACATTATTCATTATTCATTATTGTTATTATTATTTATATTATTTAATTGATGAAAAATAATTATTACGTATAATAATATAATATTATTATACATTATTATATTAGATACTATTAGTATTCATTAATTATATTTGATTTTTTATAATTTTATTTAGAGAAGAAATTATTTATTATAGCTTTTTTATATAGACATTATATTTGTAAAATATATTTTAATATTTTTATTTATCACTTAATATATTTCTTAACTTATTATCAGTTGAATAATATTCATTTTTTATTTTACTATAAATAATAATAAAGATTATATAAAAAAGCTACTCTTTAAATTAGTATAAATCAATACAGGAAGACTTTAAAATGCTATGCTATTAATCTTATTTTTATCATATACTTTATACAACAATAATCATATAATAAACTTTTTATGTTTTTAATTTATATAAAAATAATTTTTATGACATTCATAAAAGATTAAATATAAAAATTATTCAATATATCATAAAGAATAATAAAATATATATATATATTTTTTATTACCTTCAAAAGAAAATTCATTAATATAAAAAAAAATTGTTATTTTATAGATATAATTTTTTTTTTAATTAATTATATAAAAATCTTTAAAATTCTAAATTAATAAAAATAAAATAGATTTTAATGTCATATACATACACATATACATATAAAAATATTTATTTTATATAATTTTTTTTTAACTTTAGAATTATTTACTTTTTTTACTTAATTTAAAAGTGAATTGTATACAAATTTATTATATTAACATTATGTTAACAATATATTTTTTAGTTTGATTTAAAAAACTAATATAAAAATTATATAAAATTTGTTATATAAAAAAAATAAAAATTAAATACAAATTATGTGATATTAAATTTTTGATATTAATATTTATTTACCAATAATATTGGGCACAAATAAGAAAATATTCTCTGATTTTGTCATTTTTTTTTTTTTGTTTGTAATTATCTTTCACTGTTATCTGAAATTAAATATAAAATTTAATTTTTTTAATTATAGTATCTTTCATTAAAAAAATTCAATTCAAGAACTTCGTAATTATTTCACTTTTGTACACTACCGATTTCAAGTTTAATCTAAATTACTGTGGAAAAGAGTATAGACATCCTACAACGTCAATGAATGGTAGAATCGACAATCATATCGCTTTGGGATTCGAGTTCGAGATGTATCGATTCCGGTGACGCATATAGTAATCACACAACTAGCAGTGTTGTATCTATTACTATTTTCGCCTAAATTTATTTGCATCATATGAGATTAAAAAAATAATAATTTTTATAAAATACAATATTTTTGTGTGTGTGTATGTGTTTGTATGTATAGATATATATAATTATACATTTAAAAAAAAATTATATTTTATCTTAACTATGTTATAATTAAATTACAAAGATTCAAATAAATTTTAATTACAATTATTTTTTAAACATGATGATTTTTAAATAAATCTGCTTTTATCATATTCATAAAATCTATTTTATATATTTAAAAAAAAAATCATAGTTGTAAAAAATATATTGACACATAGTTACGTTCCTGAAGCCAGACGACATTTTCGGAGGCTAAACGGCTGGTCCGCCGTTTCTCTGCGCAAAAGCGATCGTTTATTGTGTCGCGAGAAAACTGTCGGTACAGATTTATGTCAATTTTCCTTAACTTTTTTCTGATATAACTAACTAAAAATAATATTCATTAACTAATAGTGAAGTCAAGTGAAATGTTTTAGTGTTAAAATTGTTTAACCGTACGGTTGGATTTGGACGTCGTGCAATGAAGTTTAGGGTGGACTACTTTCCATTTACTGGAATACAATTAATAATGTATTTAAAATAAATCTCTCAAAAAAATTTTACTATTTATTTTTAAATTAAATATTGTAAAAAAAGATCATTGTCGTAATTTTAGTGCCATTGTCGAAAAGTGTATAACCAGAAGTAACATTATGCGATCGATAATTCGCCGACGATTTTGGAATACGCTTCAATGATCGGATCAAATACTTATGATTTTGTGTAACAATTCTTATTGTCAGTGAAATATTTTAAAAGTGATTTCAGTGTCTTCCAAAACTTGTGCACAACAAAATAATAGCAAGAACAAAGTATATACTTGTTGGTATGTGTACAAGCAATGCCAGAAACAGTGTCGTTTGGGACAAATACGTTTTTGCGTCTTCCATCCGTATACGATTGCAATATCATTACAAGTAAATTGCATTTCGTATGAAAAAAAATTTACAAGAAACATACATGAGAAAAATGTGCATTTTAATATCGTTAGCGGCCATTTTGAACTTATGAGTATCTCGAACTACGACGATTATCAACCTCGTCTTATAATTCCAAAATTGAACCTTTTTTTTTTTTATGTCTTTCAATAGAGTACAAAAGCATAAAGAGCTTATTTGTCATGTCATCTGAAAATATTTATTATTTTCTTTTTTTAAAATGAAATTCTAATAAGTGCTACAGAAAGCATTCCATTCATTTTATATTTTATATTTTAATATATATCTACTATATTATAATCCTTAGTACGAATTTGAATACATGTTCAACCATAATAAAAAATTTGTTCACGAACGAAAGAAGTAAATAAATTACAAATTCTCATTTATTCTTTATTATTTATGAGAAAGTAACAAATAATTCCAAATGAGCATATCAATTATTAAATGATATATAAGTAAAATAACTTTTTTCATTATTTCATTATTTTTATGTTTTTCCTTCAATAAATATATGATTTGAATATAAGATAAATATTTGCTTATTATACAAGCAGTACAGTTTCAATTTTTTGAAATAACGTACTCTATAGTCGACAGTTGTAATTAGAGGTGACAAGTAGATCTGAAATAACCTCAACAATGAAAAATCGTTGATATCAAAATAGACATATGAATTATGTTTTCAAACTTATCATACGTAAGCAGAAGTGTATAAATTAATTAAAAATATATGGAGAATCATTAAAACAAAAGTTGAAAGACAACAGTTTTCTGATTGATCGACAGTCACGACATTAGATGGTGGACGGTGCCATTTTTATCACTTTCATAGCGCGCATGGTACGCGCGGAAAATTGAGTATATTAAAAAAATTATCAATTGAATCTCACGGTTTAAATACAAATAATTATTATTGTTTATGTATGTATATTTTTCGACTTCAATTGTATATTAAAATTGTGTATAAATTAAATCGATTAGGCTTAACCTAATGTGACGGTATAGTGCAGAATGCTTTCGTTTACATGGACGTGATGGTTTCAATAATTTCATAAATAAACAGAATCATCAAAATTAAAGTGATACGATATGCAAAAATTACAAGTTATTCTCTGTAATCAAATAAAATGGGTCGTTAGACCTTAAAATCACCAAAGAAAAATGATAAAAATATGAGCACAGCGGATATAACGCTGTCAGTTTCAGTCAAAATGGCCCCAGGGCCAGAACATCGCCAAGAACCAATAGCACCTGACAAAAGTGCTGAAAATAACAATAGTGAAATCTCTAATGAAAGAGATAATATTGAAAATTCAGTGATAGTTGTTGAGACTGTTAATAACCAGAATTCGAATACAGAATGTGCTTCAACGAACACTGACATCAATTCAGATTCGACAACCCAAAGTGTACCAACTTGCATTACTTCTGACAATAAACAGGTGAGTTAACGATATAAGGAATCCATATAAATAAGATATGTATTAATAGAATAGAATATATAATACTATAAAATCATTTTAATCATTTATATATAGATGTATATGATATGTATAAGAACATTTATACATATATATGAAGATCATTTGAAATATATTATTGAAAGATATAATTTTTTAAGGATATGAATTTAAAAAAATAATATATATAATTATTAGTTTATATAATATTAATTTTTAAATTCTTTAATATTATTTATAGACAAAAATATATATATATATATATATATATTTTCCAACATTTTTAATCATTATATTATGTTAAAAATTTAACATAGATGTTTATCTTAATATTTATAACCTAAATTATAATATAAGTTTTTTAATCAATAATTTATAATCTATAATATTTTTTTAAATTCAAATTTAAATTATTTATAATATGTAATATATAATTATTAAATATATTTGTTCTTATACATTCAAATAAATTGAACATTTGAAATCCATAATAAATGTTTTAAAAGTTTTTATTTTAATTATAAATTACTTATATTAATTATACAGACAAATTTATAGAAATTAGTTTTATGAAAAGTTTTTATACTCAAAGTTTTTATAATTGATAATTTCAATATTATTTATAATAGCACAAAATATTAATGAATATTTTATACTTTTTCATGAGGAAATAATATAAAAAATTTAATAATCATTTATTTATTAATTGTTACATTTATATATATAAATGATAGTATAAAATATACATTAAATTTTTAAATATTGAAAATATAATTTTTATGATTAATATTATCAAATTTAAATTTTATAATATATTTCTGATATATTTATGTTTAATGCAACAGAATAGCAATTAACGTCTTTACAAAATATAATATAAACATAATAAAAAAAAATCAGTGATTGAATTAATTAATCGTAACGTAATTTAATCCTTAAAATAATTTATTATTTTAAAAAAGTGAAATAATATACATTCATAATTTATAATTATATAATATATAATTTTTATGTATAAATTTATGCAACTTTAAGTATACAATATAGATTGACAAAGAATAATGAATAAAGACATCAAAGGGCCCTTTACTTATTACGATCCTGGAATGGCCGTATTCTCAGTGTAATGGCGGCGGCCATGGTGAGAAGAGCGCGCCGCGCCCGCTCGTTACAATAGCATTTAAATCGGTAGCGTATTTTTGATACTGCCGATAATATTTCTTGTGAATAGTGATAGCATATCATCGGCTACGTTTATCATATACTCAAATGTGCAAAGTCTCTACGTAACGGTGCTATATTGTGGAACTTCAATTCGACGGAGCAGAGACGACTGCAACCGACCCAGGTGCCCTCTAAAAATATAAATTCCGTGCCGGCACTGCCCAGCAGATTTTTCCTTCGTCTGTAAGTCACCCCGGTATCTCGTGTCTCAATTAGCTAATCGCGACCCCCTATCGATCTCTGGACAAGCCCAAACTCATTCTTGGTGTGTGTCCTATTTTAATTTACGAGCGAAGGTAAACTCGCTATTGGCTATCCTTTTCGCATTTCCAAGGACTTACGAGTATTCATTAACAGTGCTTTCTAAATCTTCAAAGACGATTGGTTTGTATTGTTCGAAGATGAAAGCACGTATTAAATTTTTTGTTCTACCAAGAAAATTATTTAACATTATAAAACGAATGATAATTTTCTTTTTCTCTTTTACTTTTTTAAAGGGGGGGGGGGGCGAAGAATGATAAGAGTTTATTATTAACCTAACTGTGAAAACGTATAAAGTATTACATTGTATGTATGACGATTCACGGTCAATAAATTTGGAAAGGTTTGTTATCTCTATAAAAACTACATATTCTGGGATTAATCATTTTTAATTTTTTTATATGAAATATTGAAAAGAAATTTATTATTATATGTTTTGTCTTTTACAATATTTGTGTACTGTTTTAAGAATGAAGAAAGAAGACTGCAGTAGTCAATTATTTTTTTATGTGGGCAGCCATTCTGATAAGATATTTTGCTTTGAATGAAGCTAGTCAGGTTACCGCAAGGCAATGTTAGTCGAATTACTACGAAAATAAATGACACATCATGTATAATTTTTTGCAATATTTTCTACTTTATAACTTATAGGTGGAAAATATTCTGTAATAATAATATTCATGCATTATTTTGTAAGTAAATCAAATAAAAGTCTATATAGACTTATAATTTTTTGCTGTTATATAAACAGTTATGTACATTTTAGTACAATAATGTTATATATTATTTGCAATGATTGGTTAGTATTATAAATACAATGAAAAAAGAAAACATATTGTTATTAAAATATTAAAAACTTCAATAATTTTATATATAAAAATTAATGATTATGAGATAAATGAGATATATATTATATATATATCATTTTTATGATCAAAATATATATAGATTCATGTGTTTAGATAAGTTTAGAATAATATTAATTATGATATTAGTGTATATCATTTATATTAATATACTTTTTTCTATGTGGTCTTTATATTTCTTCATAAAATCCAATAAGTGAAACCTTAAATTTACTCTCTGAATCTATCTATATCTATGCTTATCTATCTTGTTGTCTAGTTTATATTATGGTGTTTAATCTTACACGTAAAATTAAATGTTTTAAAATAAATATATTTTATTTTATAAATTTTTTTTTGAAATATTTATGTGTGTTTATCAATTGTGATAATAAAATCATAGAAATTTTTAATAACAATTAACATTTTTGTAATTAATTAAATATAAAATATTTTATATTGAAAAAATTTTTATATTTTATAATTTTATAATATAAAATTTATAAGTTTTAATATAGAAGATAAATATTAAGACAATATAAAAATAATAAATAATATAATAAAATGATTTATGGGAATCATAAATGTCCTAAATATCCTTGAATTTCTTAGTATATCTTTAAATGTATTCCTACTTATGGTTTACTCCTAAAGTTTAGATTGAACTCTTGGCACACTTACCATATTTGAATCAACATTGCCAAATATGTTCTTGCACTATGTATAGGTAACAAACAAAGTATTCACATACATTAAATAATTAAAGCATTATAATATTTAAATTGAATTTGATATAATATTTATATAATATCAACAATTTATATATTTATTTATAAAATTAATATTATTTTAATATTGTAAGAAAATCTATTCCATTTTAACTTATATAATAGTTTTTGTTTAATAAGAGTATGTTTTTAATTTATAATTATATTATTTTTTTGATATTTTTTTATAATTATATTTAATATGATTTTTAACTTTTTTTATAAAGATGGTTTTTTATGTTCTTATAATATAATTACATATGTTTATAGTAAAACAAAATTTTTTAATTTTTAGGAAGAACCAGCTACTTTATCTACATTAAATGAAGGTGAACTACGTGCACTATTGGATGAAGCTATAACTTATAAGTGTCCAAAAGATCGTGAAGGAAAATCAAGTCTTTTTAAAGTAAGCTTACTAATAATTTTATTCCTTATATATATTATAATAATAATGTGATAACTTATATTTTAGGAGTTACTTCAAGAAGCAGAAGCTGATGAAACTGAGGAAGGTTGTAGAATAATAACTAATTCACGTTGTTTACCTGGATCAAATCGTAGAAGACATAAAAGAGATTCTGTATCTGAGAGATTAACACATGGAGGCTCATTACAAAATTTAGCACAACCTATTACTTCAGAATTTGATAGTAGTTTTGCTTATTTAACATCTGGATCTAGCTATACTTACGGAGGAAACAGGAGAAAAAATAAAAAATATACAGGATCTAATGTATCTGCAAGACAAAGAGAAGGTGGTTCATTACCCTCAAATGTTAATGCATCACACAGTCTTGCTTCATTGGCTAATTTAGATTTATTATTTGATAAAAAAGTATGTATATACATATATATATATATATATCAAACATTATTAATAAAAATTTTTAAGAATAAATGATTAATTTTTCAATATTTCTTTTTTTAAGAAGGGATTCTGTGAAGAAAGATCAACATATGATTGGACTAATAAAGAAAAATCTAAATCATTAGACAAACCATCATATAATAGTACAAAAAAAGAAGAAAAAGAAAAAGATAAAAAAGATACAAAAAAAGATTTGTGTGAAACTGAAGTTGAAGTACGTGAGAAACGAGGTAGCAAAGGAAAATACGGGACAAATGAAATGCTTGAATCCGATAATCCACCACCAGAATATAAGTCAGATTATATGGTGATTGATTTAGGTGATGCTGAGGTAATTTATAATTAAAATAATATATAATTGGGTAAAATAATTATAACTGTATGTTATATTTTCTTTATTCATATTTATTTATTTTGATGTTTATTATTTTAGGTGGGTACTATCAGTGACAGAAATGTGGGATCCACTTTAAGTGGGGTTCAGAGACCTCACGCATTAGACACAGAAGATGATGAAGGAATTGAAATGAAAATTATTGAACCTCGTAGACCTCAATATATACCACGCACTACTTTTGACATAGCTCAAACTCCTGTGGATACTACTATAGATTTTTCTCTCCGTGAACATAGCGGAAAGCAAGATAAATCAAAAATATCTGTTAATGGTACAGAAGTAACTGGATCCCTCTCTTTTCAAACTTTTAATAGTGTGAAATGTGGTATTGGTGGAAACAATTCTAATACTAGTCAGGGTAAAGTAATTCCAAGTTTATGCTCCATGATGTCTGCATCCTTACAAACACAAAATATCACAATGGGTAGGTGATATATTAATGAAAATTATTGATAAAATAAAATATTAAAATAATAAAAAAAACATTTTATTTTATATAATATTAATATTTATTAGATTTTTTATTTTTAACAAATTAAAATCTGTAAATTTTGCACAGAAGGTTCGAGGTATACAGCGCATACTACTGGATCTGGAGAAAAAAAATCCTTAGATGAAAATGGAAATCCAGTACAATATAATGGAGAACGAAAAAAACCTAGAAGAAAGCATACTCAAGAACCTAATGTTATTGTATATAGTGCTGAAAATGTTGAAGGACATCGCAACATTGATGATATTGAAATTTTAATTAATTTTATTGAAAATAAAGAATCAAAGAGCAAAAAAGGAAAGCCAGGTAATCCAGTAAGAGTAAAAACTAGTTCAGGTGCAAAACCAAGAAGCAGAGAAAAGGATACTAAAAGGGAACAGTTACCAGCCAAATTACAGAAGTCTAATTCACTTGAAGAAATATCTAAGACTAAACTTGAAGATCTTACAACAGAGAAAAGCATCAGTTCGAGTGGTGCCAGTAGTATATCGAGTCAACATGGTAAATATTATTTGTAAAAATTTATTATTTAAGTAATATTAAAACATTAAGAGTTTGTCATTTAAGTAATATGAAAATTTATTACGAAATTTATTTATGTTTGAATTTTTTATATTTATGCAAACGTTATATTTGAATTTTTTATGTTTGTATCAACAAAATTTATTTATCCTTATACTTGAACAGGTACAATCAATGTTGCCTTACGTCGTGCGAAACAAAGAAGCACGGGAGACCCAGCTATCGATAGTCGCGGTGATAGACGATCTTGGGGAACAGAAGAAGGTCAGTCTATATATTGTAATGATACCGGAGATGATTATGCTAGTCGTCGAAATTCCAATAAAAAAATCAATCCAGAGCCTGAACATGAAACAGAATTCCTGGTAGTTACGAAAAAGAAAAAAAGTAAAAAACAGAGAAGAAGTTCCAGTGGAAGTAGAGCGCAGAATTTAACAACATCTGGATCTTATCTTCAAAATTCAAGAGGATTCTCTAATGAATATAGAACACCACTTTCTCCTGAACTTAGAAGAAAATCTGCAAGTAGTATGCCACCAAGGTAATTAATAATAACTTTCTTTTAATTTCTTTTATATAAATAACAACATAAATATAATTTGCAATATAATTTATAAAGAAAATCAAGTATTTTATTATTATTTATATCATACTTTTATTAATTTATTTATTATTTGCAGTGATAAATCAGACAGTAGTGATTCTGATTCTGTCCATTCATTACCAGTCACATCAAACACGTCCAAACATAATTTATCAAAAATAGCTACCTCATCTGGTGGAACGCCGCAAGCTAGTTATGCGGATATAGCTCGTATGGCAACTATTAATATGACTCACAATTCAGTGTTAAATATGTCTACAATAGTTCCAAATATGTTAAATCCATCTTCATGGCCTAGTGTGCCACCTAAGACACCCTCGGAACCAGATAAAATTCCTCAAGATTATTATCCTAGCTTAGACGAATTACAACACTCCGATAGAAAAACAAGGCAACATAATTTCACCCATTCAAATCATATTTTAAACTTAAGTTTTGAAAAACCACTTTCACCAACTTTGACAAAAATGAAAAATTCAACAGAAAGAAAAAAAGCTGAAGCTCAAGAAGAAGCTATTAATAAAAATATACAAGTTATTAAATATGTACAAGATATTGAAAAAATGCGTGAAAATTTAACACAACAAGAACAAAAAACTGTAAATTTTAATAATCATAACACAACATCGAACGAAGTTTCAGTAACGAACACAGTGCCATCAAAACTTGGCAGTGCAATAATAAATTGCAATCCTGATTCTGATAACAATAATTCCAGTTGCAACAATGTTAATAATAAGGAGACAGTTGTAAATACAAGATGTAATAATCCTCGAGCACGCCGAGGAGGTTACACACAAAATAATCAAAATGTACAGAATCAAGTACCATACGAAGATCAACATTTTAAGAAAGTTGGATATACACTTTACGATGAAAACACAAAAAAACAGAATATTGAAAATTTTAATATACATTGTGAAAATAAAAATATTTTGGGTACTGGTTCAAATGATGAAATTGAATCGCAAAAAACCAATGTAAATAATCCAAAATCAGTGCAAGAAGTGCAAAATATTGATTCAGATGCTAAGTTGACAAAAAATGAAAAATCGACAAAGACTACAAAAGAACCAAATATTAATATTAAGCATGAAACAATTAAATCAGGAAATGCACATTCTGTAAATTCGAAACAAGAACAACAAGAAGATTCTAAATTGAAAAAAGCAAAACAAAATTTCACAGATAAAGATCAAACGCAAAAAACAGAATCACAAATATCTAATAAACAGAAAGTTTCGAGGCCTGCAGTTATATTACTAGATGAAACTTCATCAGATGTTACTAAGAATAGTGAGTTGCCAACAGAACTTAGATTCGGATTTGAAATTAACGAACAACTTTTATTATCAGAAGATTCGACGACCGAAGAGACCTCAAGTGCCACTTCTGTATTTCCTTCTGTAGTTCCACCACTTATAAACAAACCACCTTCTAATTTTGATAGATATCCTCCAATATTTGATAAACACATGAGATGTGATAAATTTACGCCTAATTTCATGCAATCTCCAAATACGCATGTAACTCAACAATCTTTGCATCCGGTGATGGTACAACGATTACCGTGTATGGGTTATCCTCCAAGATTTCCTCCTCCTACATGTCTACCACCACCACCTACACCTCCGCCAGGAATAATGGAGAAATATCATCATCAACCAAAAGAAGATTTTTCTATGCTTTATGTAGCACCTGAAGAAGACGTTAATATACAAACATACAATCATGATAAAATCGTCTCATTTGTTGGTTTAGGTAAATATATTTTATTTTAGAGTTTTATACAATGTATTTTAAAATTGATGATTAATCGTTTGAAAACAATCGAAAATATTTATAAAGTTTCGATCGTTATAATCATTTTTAAAATAATTGGCTTGTAATATTTTTAATATAATTAGCATCTTCAATAACGATTTATGATTAGATTATAAATAGGAAATATATATGTTTTATAGTATTCAAATTATTAATTATAATATAATAAATAATAAAATAAATTATTAATAATTTATAATAATTCAAAATCTTCTTATTTGTCTCTTTTTGTTGATATAGCATGGGACGCTGTTATGAGAGAAATGCCAGTAACTGCAGGTGGTCGTATACAGTTCTACAGTGGTCAGTGAAATGGGCACTAAGAAATATGGGGTAAATAACACATTAACGTTTTTGTACCACAAAATTACCTCTATTACAAGTTATTCGTTATAAAACTGTAAACAGCCAGAAGAGTCTGCTAATTAATACAAGATCGAATATATATCTAAATACAAGCAAATCTGATCGAGCCTGTATCAAAAAAGTTACATTAACTTTTGGTTTCGATCGTCAAAGCTGTACTAATTTTTGAGTCACATCATCAATGATAATTCTGTAAAGCCAATTGGCGCAAAATGTGCCTCTAAAGCTAATGTATATAATAGTCAATCACCTGAAAAAGACAAGGCTTATAAATTGTATGTGTATGTTCTGATTGTACATACATTATTAAATTACAAGGTACCTTTGAGAAGGTTGTAATGCAATACTTAAGTTTCAGTATTGACATTTGATACAATTTGACTGAAAATTCGTGACACATTTTGCTTCTTCAAAGCATAAATATTAAATTTCTTGTAAAAAATGTGAAAATTTAAGTAGTCTTATATAAGTTTCAAAAAAAAAAATAATAAAAATAAAAACAGATTGCTTTTTGGACCAGAGTTATAAAAATATTACAATTGTGAAACAAAAAAGAGTTTAAAAATTAACTGAAACATGATCATCATGAAACAGATTTTTCGAAAACTGCATGTGCTGTGACAATGGTTAATGCTGATGCCTTTAAAGAATAAGAAATACATCTTAGACCATTGTAATAAAGTTTAAAGATAGTTGAAAAAATCCTGTTATGTTAACTATAGCAAATTAAGATCGTCCATTGGAAATATTATTAAACTATATAATAATTATCTTAAATAGTTACAAGCAGAGATGATCTTAAAACAACATCTTGAAAACGGGGATTGTTGCAGCCATCAGTGAGTCTTCAAGGAAAACTTTAAAAAGATTAAACATAAAAATAGTGGTTGCTAGATTGTACTTTATTTAAGACAAATACTAAAGAAAAGTAAAGAAAGTTATAAAGATGTGTGAAGTGTAATGGAAATAGTGAATGTAAGTGTGTTATTAAACACGTGTAAAATATTTAAAAGTAGTGTGATTGACTTACAACTTTAAGGAGTGGTTTCTTCCAGCCGCGACAGATATTAGTTTACGAAATTTAAAAGAAGGAAAAAAGAAAGAATCATAAAAACTTTGATTTTTGCAAATATTGCGCTCAAGATCATAAACTGGTTAGAGACAGTGAGAAAAGTGCGAATGTGTTGGAAAAAAAAAAACAAAACAAAAACGCTAAATTTTTACACAGACTCGCTTATTTAATGAATAATTAACTATTAATTATTGGTAATGATAATTATAATAAAGTACTTGCTTGTGATCATAAAGTATGATGGTATGAATGCGTATAGTGCATCTAGATACTCTACTAGCTGATGTCTAGTTTAGTTTGAATATTTGTGTCTTGAATTCTTTTGGAATTTTTCATGGAATTGTGTTATCCTCTGAATATGCAAAAAAAAAAGAAAGTAACTAATACACTTTATGATTGTTAACGATTTACAATAAGAAAAAAAACTTAAACGAGTAGTTAATCAAAAAAAACAAAAAATGAATTTAATATGATTCTTTTTATGACGATATTATTCGTCAAATAGGAAGACTACCTCCCATATATTTTACTTTTCGATAGATGATCAAAATAGTGACTTTCTGAATTGAATGAAAACCTCATATATTTGAAACCAAAAACATAAATAAATAAAGTTTACAGAAATTTATCACCTTCGAATACAATAAGAAAAAAACTAATTAATTATCATAGACAAGTTTCATATGAAAGAATAAAAGTGTATTTGTCTACTTAGATTCTTATAATTAATAATTATTATTATTAATTATTATTAATTATTATTAATTATTATTAATTATTATTAATTATTATTGTTGTTATTACTATTATTATTGTTATCATCATCATCACCATCATCATCATCACCATCATCATCATCATCACCACCACTACTACCACCATTATCACCATCATCATTATTATTAATAATAATCATCATCATCGTCGTCGTCGTCGTTGTCATCATCATTGTCATCATCATCATCGTCATCATCATTATCATCATCATCATCGTCATCATCATCATTATCATCATTGTTATTAATATTAATATTATCGTTATTATTATCATTATTATTAATTATTATTATTATTAATCATTATTAATTATTATTATTATTAATTATTATTATTATTAATTATCATCATTATCATCATTTGCATCAT